TTGAGAGACATTTATTCTGAAAAACTAACCTACAACAAATCGTTTGTCAATTTATGGTGTTCCTCTTTGTAAGACTCATCGAATTGATATGAATATTATATATTAAATTAACAACATTCTTAAAACTTCTGTGAATTGCAAAGGTAATCCAATATATCTGCTTATAAATAACCCGAGTTCCAGGACTAAAAACTTTTTCTTAATTGACTGATAATTAAAGTTTATTTCAGAATATTCGTCAGTTCTGAAACTCGGAGAAGTTTGTTCCTTTACATTTAAGTAAATTTGACTAACTCATTTCATAAGATTAAGAATATTGGAGGTGACGAAAGTGTTAATTAAAAATCAATTTGCTAATTTAGTGCATTACTTAATGCCATAAACATTTTAATTATTAGGAAACCAAGCACAATTTTGGATGTTCAATTTTATTTTTAATTTACGCTTTAAGCGAGATATTTCGCGTAGACAAAAAAATATACAAAAATAGATAGCTCTAGTATTTATCGAAAAAGTAAGAACCTTCATTATTTTTTCGTATTTTTGTATATAGTTAAAAAATGCTCAATTCTCAAAACCCTGTTTTTCGTTAACATTTCGGCGTATTTTGTATGTATATTTCCAAAACACCTTCAGTGTAAATAAGTTGTTTTTGACTTAACACTCTTGCCACCTTACATTGACAAATGTATAATTTTCTGGTCTAAAATGTTTTTGTAACATTTAAGTACATTTTAAATATGGTGAGTTAGCCATTGAAACAAGAATTATTACTTAATAAAGGGATTATTCCCAATCTAAATACAACTACAATGATAGTAATAATTATATCACATAAACGTCACACAAAAAGCACTACAACACTATTAAATATATTCTACTGAATAGAGAATTACCATTTTTTTAACATTATACAGTTGCCATATTGGCAAGTAGTATGATTGTACAAAAACTATAAAATTATATAAAATTATGTTAACACTAAAAATCGTCATTATTAAACCTATTTTAATAAATATGTTAATATAATAAAATTAAACTTTGGTTAACCAATTATTATGTACCCATATTGATTAGTTTAATTTGAATTAGCAAAATTTAATTTAAAAAGAGGAATGAAGAATAATTTTATTTAGGTACTTATCTAGGTATTAAAGTTGTTTAATTGACTGATTTGTATCAAAAATGATTGTGCTACTCTATCACTCTTTCATTACATCTTTATGTAGACATATTTATGTTGTTTTTGTGCCAGTAAAATAATAATATAGGTACATAAGTCCTTGCAAAAGGTACGAAAATCATCGTAACCAAAACTAAATGTGATTACAAATTAAATACAAAACTATTAAATTACCTAATGTTTACTTCATGCACATTATTTGCAAGATAACAAATGCTTTTTCTATTAAATCTATAAGGTAAGCAAAAGCTCTGCCTTCATTAAAATTATCAAAATCAATATAAATAAAGATTCTATTTAATTTGTATATTTAATTTTACGTTGGGCAGATGTGTTTGACTAAAATATTTTTTTTAGTTTTCATAAGGACATAAATATATTTTTCTTGACTGTTACAAAGCTATATTTAATGATATGTTTATATTGTTTCATTTAGCATTATTACACTTATATATTTTTGGTAAGTAAGCCTCATTGGTTTATTGCTATAATTTAAATAAAATATATTAATTAACCCTACCATAAGATTCTTATTTACCTACTTTGTAATTTAAATAAAAAAAAGTAAAACAATATAATTAAAAAAATAAAAACAACCTTCAAATGGGAAGATTATTTTTATCTTATTCCTCCTTCTATTATTTAAAACTTAACTTTTAGGGCACCTTTGGTTTAGCTTATTTTATTTATTTATTTGAAATTTTTTATGGGCTGGCCAAACTTTACTTCCAGTCCTTCGATTCTTATCACGTAAGAACAGTCCAGTACGTTTATAACAGCAAATATATTAAGTATGAAAGTTGGTGGTTGATTTGCACCAGGGCAAAAACCTTCGGACCCCATTAACAATGTCCAGCGGCAACCATCGTTCTTTGTCAAGTACTAAGCGGCATGTAAGAGTTAAGATTGTCCATTTTCTTCTCCTTTTGCTCCCTGAAAATTCCGAAAAACATTAATATTAGACATTGCGAACCATCAGCACTTCTTTTTGTATTGTAAATGAGGAAAACTGTGTTCATAAAGATTCTACAAATAAATGAATTATAATAAAAAGTGTAACTATTATAGCCGGTTTTAACCTTAATTTCACTGCGCAACAATCTATTTTTAAATTTTTTTTAATATTTTTTACTATTCTATTCAATTTTTGCCAAAAATAATTCAAAATTGATGTTAACCCTAGATAGCCAACGTTCAAAATTTATACTTTGATGCCAACAATACGTAAATTTTACCGTATATATTACAAATATGTGCAAAAATTGTTTCAAACCATACGACTTACTTTATTGCCAAGATTACGTAAAATATACGTAGGTATAATATACGTGAAATATACGTATAACAACCATACGAATTTGCCAACTATACGTAAAATTTACGCGTGGACTATCACTCTATATTCAGTCACTGACAACCCACACCTGCCACATCAAAAACACGTCGGCTGCCAAAAGTAGTGATGGAAGGGAAAGCACTGCTTGAGCGGCGAAACGAGGATGCCAATATTAGGTAAATTATTTCAGATTAAAAAAAAACTTTACGTAAATTTTACGTAGGTTGGCTATCTAGGGTTAATATACAGGGTCTGCCAGAAGTCGCGAATCTACTGCACCCAGGACTGTTTAAAAAAAATCTACCTTTATTATTTAAAAATATATGAGAGCGTTAACATTGAGTTTTTAAACCTACAAAATATTAGGTTCATCTTGTTTATAGATTAGGCCTAATAATGTTTAATCGTTTAGTTAGGAAGTATTGTTTTAATTTATAAGAAAATGCATTTTAAACTTTTTTTTTTAGAAATACCCATGCGTTGGCAACATAACGTGCCAACATTATAACAACAATTACCTAATTGGTTATTTAAATTAATTAATTGGTTATTTAAAGTGTTGGCTTCTCACCATAAACATTATCTTTTAGACAATACTTTACAATTAAAATTCAAAATTAGATTCTTTCATAAAACTTCTAGACAATATTTGACAGTTAACATTTAAAATTAGAATATTTTATAGCATTTATTAGATATTGTGATATGTATATTGTGTTTGGAGAATGCTTGGAAAATGCAAGGGCAATTCATCCTGTGTGAGTTTGTGTTACAGTAATGTAAATATTTGTTTTGTATTTTAATCATAGATTAAAGGTAGAGTGCTATTAATATCTCATGGCGGATGACCTTGGGTGCGCAAAAGTCTCAAATCCGTCAAATCGCGCTATTACTCGCTGACCTAAAAACATACTACATAGGACTGAGAATGCTGATATTTTCTGAAATATTTAGAAAAATTTCTAGGCTACAAATTCTATTATATTTGTTTTAATATTATAGCGTCTCTCAAGGTCAACCGCCATGAGATATTAATATCACTCTATACTTTTTTAACAACTTTCTGGGATTTTAAATTTCTGGAGAGAGCACGACGAATACTTTGTACAATAAACAATTTTATGTATGAAAAAAAGACTATTTTTATTAAACACACAGCGTTGGCAACTTTATCTTAAAGGTTTATTAACTGAAAAAATCAACAAAAAAAATGTGCAAATTCTTAAATTATTTGGTATTTTTTTTTAAATATAAGTCATAGGTATTTATTAAATTTAGTTTAAAATGCGTTAATTTACAAAATAAGTTTTTGGCACAAATATTAAAGATCACCATGATCATACATTTTTAAATCAATTAAAATAGTGTTGCGCAGTGCTATTTTAATTATTTATCCTTATTAAGGATTAACACGTAATAAGTAATTAAAAACGGTTCAATGACTAAATATAATTTGTTTGAAAACAAAATTTGTATGAAGATGATATGTATGCATACATATTAAAATAATATTTTTATAATGGACATTTTTCATTTTAAAATCTTCTCCTGCAGTACCTAAAAATCCAAAACGTGTGTTGCTAAATATTTATAATATTAAACATTGAGAATTTAGGTTAAACAGTTCAGTTCCCAGTAGATTTTCTAATATAGGGCACAAGTTAATTTAAATTCCAATTATGTAGGTATGAATACTAATTAAAATATAAATTTTTCATTTGACCATAATTAGGTTAACTTAAGAATACAGGCTATCCAGAAACTCTTTTGACACATGGAATTGAAGCGTGAATTTTATGCTTTATGCAAAATAAGTTAACATGACATACATGTAACATAATAGACTTTGTAAATAACTACCTTGGACACATGTTAAACACCGTTTGAAACAGTGGTAAAAAAACCAACGAAGCTGCGGTGTTCAATTAAGTGACCATCGGGGTGTATATGTAATTTTATTGATATAAACATGTACCCCTAGCTATAGCTAGTTAACCATTAACCAACACACAGAAAACGCTAGCATAGCATGAATGGGTGAGCCATTAAACCAATGGGATCTTGTAATCCGTATTCCTGAATAACAGTTCCTATAATGCCAATAGGTAGTTAGAAGTTTGTTTATAATCGTTTACTGTTTTTAAATTAACAAAAGTTATCGCTCCTAAATCTATTAATATTTATATTGGTATTTATTTGTTGGAATGTTATTGCATTAAATACTAATTTGATTTATTTAATAACGTAACGTAAATTCTTTGACATATAGGCAAAATGTTTCCCTATTTTGGTTTAATAGTAATTAATTGAGCAAATAACAATTTTCATTCATTCAATTCATTCATTCATTCAATTACAGCGCTGTTCTTGGTACTATGTTAGATTTTTTATGTGCATGTATTGGTTCAACTTTTGGTTTATTGGAAAACTATAATGCATAAAGTAATAAAGAAACTTCTGGTGTATATTTGTCTAGAGAGTCTCTAGACATTTTGTATGTTAATATCCAATAGTTTAATAAAAACGGTTTTTCTCATTTACATTAATTACTACTTGTAAGTACTACTACTTATAAAAAGGAATAAGTAACGTATTAGTTATCATTCTAAGCCATAGGCAAGTAGGTATTAGGTTAAGACCGACCTCAGCAGCCATTTTGCTTTTGGCGTATTCTATACGAATTGGGCCGCGATCGGACGACAGTAGGAAGGAACCTTGCAGTGAAGCCATAACTTGTGAGGCGCAACGCACATCCTGGTACTCCATGAAGACCACCGGGGAACCACCCTTGTTGTGCATGCGCAGGCGACAGAAGCCAGGGAAGCTGTGCAACAAGAACACCACATGTGCTGCTCAGTGTTGGGCACTACTACTAACTAAAGGATGTGCGAGGGCAGGTACACAACAAACTGTGATTTTTTTGTGTTTAATAAGTGCATTAAATTGTTAGTTATTAGGTATGGCAAACCCTCACCGTCTTAGTATTAGTAGGTAACATGCCGCCCCAACTGAAAGGGAGGTGTGTGACGAAGTGCTCGCGTTTCAATGATTTTTTACAAAAACTGACTCAAAACTAGCGACGTTTAAATTGTCAACATTTACAAGACACCAACTACAGTGCAAGGTATAATGACAGACACCCACTGACACCTACATACTGGTTGTTATGTTGTGGTGGTGTTTCCAAAAAAAAACAAATACTTACTATCGCAATCCCAAGAGCTTCGTTTCACAGAACTTGGGAGTTTCTACACAACAGCCCACTTAACAAAAAATATACAATTAAACATATCATTATAACTTGCACCATAATTTCATTTTTCTTACATAAGTTACTAAAGGCTTGTGTTACTAATAAATACTTGATAATCTGAATAAAAAATAAATACTAAACGAAGTACCTGGCAAAGATCTCCTTCAGCTCGTGCTCGGACACAAATTGACCCAGATTAGCCACAAACAATGTGGAACATGGTGGGTTGCTTACTCCCATTCCTGGCTGAGACGATGATGACCCTACGGGAGAAGCCAAGGCAGGACTCGGTAGAAAATGTGGTAAAGATGCAGCATGTACTGAAGTAAGAGCAGTGGGATGCGGCATTGACATATGTTGTGGCTAAAATTTTTTTAACATTTATTAATTTAAATATACTGGTAATAGCCTAAATTTATATAAATGCCTATTTTCGGACATAACAAAACTTATTAGCAAACAAAACCTTCCGTCTTAATAATACAGTACCTACGTTATAAGAAAAATATCAGTACTTAATAAGTACAAACAATTTTTTGGAGAATAGTTTTCAGGTAATTAAGATTTTAAATTTAAGAAACTTAGCAGCACAGTGTAAGATAAAATCCAAAAAAAGCCACATATAATAGTGGTGGTTATGGAAACCAAATAGATAAGAGGTTGTATTTTGTCAATTTCTTTTAATAATTTAACAAAAATTCAACAATACTTTGTTATAATTTACAAATTTAAACTTTCATTAATTTGTTTTAATCCTTCTATATTTATAAATTATCTTAAACAATATTGAATTAAATTTAAACTACTAGTTTTTTTTAGATTACCTTGTTAGGCCTAGGTTTTACCTAGTATCTGTAAAAAATTCATTTTGACCAATCCAAAAATTTTACTACTGTCAGATCTAATCTAACCTCATTGTCTAATTTTATTAATCATTATTGTACGTTTTATGTATTGTTTGACAAATATAATTTTGCCTTGTTGTATGCCATGCGGCTGAGAAGTGTATTTTTGTGCGTCGCTCATTTGTAGTACGCGTCGTCATTCAAACTTTTAAACTCAGCACAAAAAGACTTACTTCTCATCCTTATGACATAAATAACATACAAATTGTTTGCATGGCGTACCTAAAATTAGAGACCCATATTTTGGCAACTTTTTGGTGTTTTTTTTTAATTTTATTTACTCAACCGAAAAAGAGTAATTTAAAAAATATTATTTTTTATGAGGATCGCAACTTTTAATTTGTTTTTGTGTTTTTCAAATTGTTTTATTTATTTTGCTTATCATGCCTTAGGTTTTTAAATTCTTAATATATTTTTTTGCATTTTTACGAGGCACATTTTAAATTAAAAAAGTGGGCTAATACTTATTGTTTAACGAAAGTTTTGTAAACATATTTTCAAAAGTGTGGTAAATTTTTTTTTCGTATTTTGGTTTAAAAAATATGCCTTAATATTCTAGTCAATTTATGTTGAAATAAAAAAATATTTTTTTATTTGGTTTAAAAAACAAATTTCAATTTCAATTAAACTCTTCGAAGTAATATCCACGGTAAATTTTCCATTTATTTATTTTTTTATTGACAAAAAAATCTCAGTGGGATATATAGTAAAAACGCAATCTAAAATACACATATGACAAAATTCGGTTAAGTAAAATAAAAAATGAGCGTAATAAAATATTGTAACGATAATCGATAATATCCACGGTAAATTTTCCATTTATTTATTTTTTTTATTGACAAAAAAATCTCAGTGGGATATATAGTAAAAACGCAATCTAAAATATACATATGACAAAATTCGGTTAAGTAAAATAAAAAATGAGCGTAATAAAATATTGTAACGATAATCAAAATTTGTATTAAAGCTTGCTCAGTCTTTAATCATACCATAATAACTTTGCAACTAACAATCCTTGAGGAATTTAACAAAAAATAATACCTGATAATTTAGGTTTAAAAAATGTGATTTTAATTAGTTTAGTAATCTTACAGATCCATGGTTTACATCTAAATGAATAGGTTGTTCTTCCAAGTTTAGTTTCCAATGGACCTGAGTCAAATAAACCACCGCAAACTTAGCGCAAGTTTAACTACTTCATCAGGCTAATTTAATACTGATTGTTAATGAACATGTTTGCATTTACAAGTTAGTGAGTATTAGTGAAGAATAAATGTACTTTCGGGACATATTTTGGTTATGTAATGTTTTAGCTAAACAACAGTCATTAGGTTTTTAGGAAGGATTATTTTTGTTAAAATAAGTTCTTTAAAAAATTTTCACTCATTAAGGTAGTTGTCGTGCTGTAAGCATACTATCAGAAAATTTTAAATTTTTGTATACTTATTAAGTACATGACAATACAATTATCCTTAAAATTTGAAGTCGATTGACCGTCTATAACCCGAGATAAATTCAATTAAAAATTGGATAATTAACATGGTTTGAATACGCTTTCTGTAGTTCTGTACCAGTTTCTTAGTTATAAAAAAACTAACTGTCAGAAGCTTTAAAAAAACTAACAGTATTTTATTTTTGCTGAGTTAAAAAAAAATAATTACAAATTTTTGACCGTCCAATTGTTTATAAATAACCGTTTAAAGTTCAACAATTTGTAAAAAGTATACATCACTAGTGTCAGATAAAAACAACTTGGCAACGCTGTACGCGAGTATAGATATTATTTCCGCAGTAAATTCAAACAGACTGATTCAGTCTCCAATATATTTATTGGTTGAGCCTAAGCGACGTTGCCGGATTAAAACATGAAAATATTTGAAAGTATTACGTAAAGGTAACGTCTCCAGGGTACAGTCTTGCGAAAAAATTATGAATTACTTAGCTACAAGCTCGTATACTTTTACGGTGCGTATAATCTAAAAAATTTTGACAATATTGTACCACGACAACTACCTTAACTGGACAAGCAAACAAAGTAAAAAAGAAACAAAACTAACGTGATGATGGACTGTGGGGCCTGCTTGTTGCAGATGAGAGTCCATAGATTTGTCTGTAGATAGTCAAAGATAGGAACGTACGGGAACCTGAGGATGCAGAGCCGGATGGACGAGGGTGGCGTGCTGCAGGGCCGCTCCAGGCAGTTCGGCGGCGGCAGCCGAGTACGCCAACGGATGATGCCATAATTCGGGCCCGCCCGGGAAGAACGGCGTCCCCAAATCTGTAAAATATCCTTGTTGAGGAAAAATTATGGTGTTATTAAAAAAATCAAAAAATAGCATAGAGGGGTTTGGTTTATTTGGGGATTTCTACAAACTAGTGTTAATACTTATACATATAGCGAATGAGGGAAGGGATTGGTGAGTATGTATGTGTTTTTACTCGTATTAATAGAGTAATTTTAAAGCAGTTAAATTATATAAAATTAATTTACAATGTGTGAAATTGACTAGGTACAAAGCAATGTTTTTTTTCATAGTTGCAATTAATTTGAATCGTCTCATAAGAATGAGTAAAAACCTAAAAATCGAATTTCTCATTAACATTACATACAGGGTGTCCCAGAAGTCGCGCACCCACTTGAAGGTGTATGATCTAAGAACCCCCAAGAATCCCAGAAAATTGTTTAAAAAATCTACCTTTGTTAAATTCATTAGACATTAGACCTAATATATCTTTTTAAATAATAAAGGTGAACTTCGTTCCTGGGGTAGATCATCTACCTTTGAGGTGATGCGCGACTTCTGGAATAGCCTGTATATAATATATTCATATTTTATTCAATTCAGTTTAAGAGTGCAGTACACTGTAAAACCATATTTTACTTATTTTGTTGTCTCGGTCAATAAAAAGGTTAATATCAGTCATGTTAATACCAACCATTTTCTGGGTCTTTTCGATTTAATAAAATTCGTTAGGAACTTTAGGATTAGGTACCTAAATAGAAAATCTCAAGTAAGTGGTCTTGGTTGCATTCAGGTGTAGCTCCAAGTCATTTACATATAGTCTAAATAGCACAGGGCCAATAATCGAACCCTGTGGTTCAACCATACATATATTATGTAACTTAAATTTAATTGTTTTTGTATTTTGTAATTCATTGTGTTTTATTGATACATACGCTAGACCATATCTCTTCATTTTTTGCATTAATTTACCATCATCAACAAAGTCAAATACCTTGATGAGATACAAAATATCCCAGCAGGATGACACTCTTTCTTTTTAAAAAAATCTACGTATAATGTTTTTATAAAATTTATTGCTGAAGATGTAGTTAGCTTCTGCAATGAATTTTAAAATAAAAGGAGAAATATCATTCGGTTTTCTTTAATTTAAGTTTATTTTTTGAAATTGATTAACATTTTAGAATTAATAAAAGGAAAAAGATAAAATGAGTTATATTATTTGAAATTTAATTTTTATTTTTTTTTTAGGGAAAACAAGTTTTTTCGTACATTAAACGGAATATTTATAAATAACTAACCAGGAGATTATCCATAGCAGTGGCTTTAGTATAAAGTTAAACATTTAACATTACACAGTGATCCTGAACGAGTCATAGGTCACATAAAAATGACGCCAAAAACTGACTGAAGTATTGGAATAAGGATGTCATCTGAAGCACAATCCATTGTGATCTGAAGTTTAAAAATACGTTTTTCAATTGTAGCTGTTCCTTTTTTGAAGTTTTGCTTAATAATCCAAATATCAAACGTCATTTAGTGATTCATTTTAGGTTTTTGCTATTATCTTTAAAACGGAGGAAATAAAGGTGACTCAATTGTCTCTTAAATCATGCCTCCATAATTATGCCTAAACTATTGGCCTACGAAATCCATAGAAGTAGTCGTGAATTTTTTATGTTTAACTGGGTGTTTCATTTTTTTTGTAAATAACCTGCCATAGGTTACTTTCAGCATTGCAGCATCATTTTTCTTTAAAGAAATATAAGTACTTAATAATTGTCAAATATTATTGTAATGGTATCAACATGAGAAACAGCATTAAATATTTTTTGTTGGAAACACTACAACTGCTCTTTTTAACGACTATTTGAAGTTAGGATGTGCCATGTTGTTTATCTTGTATTTATTTAAAAAAATTTATAAACTCGCGGTGGACATTCTTCCAAGTGATTAATTAGTAGGTGCCTACATGAATTTTTAAAGTTTGAGATATACTAGCAGATTTAAACATAACTACTAAAGTTATCCTTAGTCTTAAATTGGGACACGTATGGTAAAATGACCAAAGGACTGGCAGTTTTTAGAAAATCTTTTGTAAGAAGAGTGTCAGGATGTTTCAAAAACATTTAACATGCATTTCCCTCAAATATGTCACCTTGGTAGTTCTTAGAGACCAAATTCAGTGTTTTAGCCCATCTCAACGCTTGTTCTTTTCCCAGAATTTTCACTAGTCCGTTCCAAAACACGCCTGACAAAGATGATTGCTAACTAGATTTTTGTATTTACTACTTGTTGGCAATTTAATGTAAGCTAATGTAACTGATGGTATAATTATTGCGTGAGCGTATACCTCAACTGAACATACATTACTTAGGTCCTCAATTTATATATTTAAGGGTCAATTTACTGTTGTCCTTTCCTTTTTTTTGTGAATTATGGTTTCGGCGATTAATGTGCAAAAATATCAAGTTTTTAAACATTTTGTAATTAAAAAAAATTATATCTACGCCAATGGTTGCTGTTGTTGAAGCATCATTTAATAGATAATTTTGTCGTCTTTAATTCTTTATTTTAATTTTTTTTCCTAAAGGGCTCATATTTAAAGAAATTCGCAAAAAATCTTAAATAAGTCACTAAATTACAGTTGGTATTTGAATTAACTTCCAAAATTTAAAAAAAAAGGTCAACTACTATTTTGAAAACCATGTTTTTAAACTCTAGAGAGGGTCCTTATTCCGATAGTGCATTCAGTTTTTGGCGTCATTTTTATGTGACCTGTGATTAAATGCTTATTGTTACTGTTAATTTATTTAACAGTCTAAGGGCCGGTTTATCAATATCTGGTTAAGTTACAGTTAAATTCCATATCGATCGTTTTGAGAACAATGGTATCCATGGAAATTATCTACCAGATAACTAACTGCAACTTTAACTGGACATTGATAAACCGGACCTAAGTTTTAGTTTTTAAACTTCGGAAACTGATGTCGGGAAATTAAACATTAAAATAATACAAAAGAGTATCAGGGTTTCCCAAAACTGGCGGCCCAAAGGTTAAAGATAAATTTCTCTTAAAATTCTAAGGCACATTTAGGTTAGGTTATTTAATTTTTACGGGCTCCAATAAGGGTTTCCCAAAATTAAGGTTGTCCCAAAATTGGCGCCTAAAAGAAAAAAGTTTAAAATAAAATATTTTTTTATTTATATCAAACTTTGTTCTCCGATATCATTTAAATAAAAATAACGCTATTTTTTATAGAGCGGTAAATTTCTTACAAAAATATGTCTTGTGTATTGATGCAAATAGTTATTAGAGCTATACGATTTTTTTCTTTTGCTTTTAAATTTAAAAAAGTATCATGATTTAGACAGTTTCCCTTGCCATGCCATGCCCATGCCCTTTGGTCAAAACCATATATAATACAATAACATTTTCTCGACAAAATATGTTTACTATGGAATTTTTAAAAGAATGAAAGGAAAAAAATTGATTTTTGAACAAAAAGTACCTAGTTTTGGTACTATATGGGTTTAATATTTTTGAATTTTTTTCTAATCCTATTGCATATTATTGACATTATTGTAGGATGATTTACGTATCTCGCCTAACGGCTCGAGATGCAAACCTCATCCTTGTGATTATCTCCCGTATAATAATATTCTATTACAGTATAATAATATACTATTACAGTTTTGTATGAAGTATGAAAGTTTTATTAGCTGCCGACTAATACTTACTGCAGCTACAGCTAATCGATTTGATTATAGTATTTGAAGAGTTTACTCATTTATTTTGGAAAGCCTTAGGGATTATTCGGAAAATACGCTGTCTTTTCGATAGAAAATCGGAAATAATCAAAACATCTTTTTGTAGAAATCTCAAACACGAAATAAACAATTTGCAGTGGTTTTCCTGCTTGATTTTTTGAATACGTCAGTAAACTTTTTTAGTTAAAAAAGTACAGAATTAACACTTGAAGAGAAATTCGAATCGTTATAATCGTGTTTGATGATTTTAACAAATTTCTTCATTAGTTTTTAACTATGCCTACTAATGAATTAACATTTTCGAGTGATTTCAGCGTCTATTATATTAGTCAACAGAACAAGTTTTACAATTTTCGTACGAGCTTAACTTTTTAACACTTGACGAGCTATTATTATTTGCCCCGGGCAAAAAATGCTTTAGCTACTTTAGACAAAATGTTCTAGCTACTTTAGACAAATAAATGTTTTCAAAAATTCGTGTCCTTTAGAAAAGCAGCGAATTATAATTATTCGTATTAGCCTCGGGGCGTAGCTTACTGCATCAATTTTTTTCAACATTTGCAACTTAAACATTAAAAGTTTAAGGAAATTAATTTATATGAGCAAAAGTCTCAAAATCCCTTGCTATGTTTTAGGGGTCACACAGATTATATTTAAGTTATTTTTACGATGACTAAAATTTGTGTTGCACAGTGTAAATTTAATGAACTATTTCAAATGCAAAGTTAATTGTTTTATAGCATATTTACAGGTTGTTTCATTTTTGCGGTGTAAAATTATAATATTTACACTCGTATTTACAACGCCCGAAGAAAAGCCATGTAGCAGTTTTTAGTCAGAGGGGTGGATTCCAGTGGCGGCTCGCAGATTTTTACAAGCTTATATATTTGTTAAGACTTAAGAAATATAACCCATACCATTTTATTGTTGGTTTATTTAAGTAAACAGAAGTTGTAAATCTTTTTATTTTAAAATTATTAGAAGCATTTTAAATATTGTAAATTGTGCTATAATTTTAGTATTGCGCATGTATGAAAGTCTTTCTTCAAACCTATAGATTTGTTCTTAACAATAAAGAATTTCATACATGCGCAATACTAAAATTATGTTATTTGTATTCCATTTGAGTACACTTGTAGCTAGTGCTAGACACAAGTTAAGTACACGGTAGGACAAAACCTATTGTAACTAAGAATTTTGGTAATGTCATTTAGGTATATTACCAAAATTCTTGCTATGCCACTGCTTCGGTTTGTGGGTATATAATTTAATTGAGTTTATGTATACTAAACGGAAATATAATGAAGCTACGGTGGTGGAGGGAGCGTGAGGTAGGGGTAGTGCGGTAAGGTAGCAGCCGCCCCACGTCCCCGTGGGCGGCCAGTGTACTTACGTCCTGTGAGGGGGTGCATCAAAGTTGGGTGCGTGTTGGCGGCGTTAGCAGCTTGCTGTTTGGGCTTGCTAACCTTCGTGTTACTTTTAGCAAATTCCAGTCGGATCGTCTGAGGCATGTCGGGGTCAAACCTTACACCCTGCTGCAAAATTGCCCACAAAAAGAGTGATTGTGATGTCAAAATGCATTTTTAGGAATTACTACTCTACTACTAGTTTTTTTCATGACACGTGATAATAGTTCCACCAGGCGCCGATTTAAATTATGTCTTCACACGAATAAAAAAATTAATCATTAATTAACATGACGTTTCCTCATTCCTCATTATCTCATTATTTATAAAAGCAATAACATATTTTAGCCGTTTTTTCTCAAATGCTATTTGTCAAAGACATATTTTTTAAACTTAAATAAAATACACCTAACTAATATTTTGGCCTGTTTTCAATCTAAATTTGTCCTTTATAAGGCTTAATAAAAATAGATCTAAATAATCCTATAAATGTCGTAAAATTCGTTCCTAAATTTTCGAAAATTTCTTAGCCTAAAGCATTTTGTGTATTTCATAAAATAAATAAGACCCATATATGTTCTACCTTCTATACAGGGTGTTTCACGTTCGTAGTCCATTAGAAGTTTCTGGGGAACGGAAAAAGATATCTATTTTAAATTTTAAAAGCGTTTATAATACATTTAAATCTATTTTTCTAAAATTCCACTTCCGGTTTAAACTGAAGCGGCATCAACTTTGTTATTTCAAATGGAACACCCCATATATTTTTACATTTTTAAATTCTACATAAATTTCTGAGTAAAATTACTATACCATGTCCTACCTAAGGTGAATAGTTTTCGAGTTATTCATTTTTTCGTTAAAATTCGACAAATGCGCATCAATCAAAAATAGCCTATAACTTTTTTGTTATTAGGTTTGCGGATATGGGGGTAGATTTTTTGAATCTTAAAATGTTGTTTAAAAGATTCCATGTTAATTTTTAATATTTCTCAACAAATTAGTTGAGAAAAACCATGACAAATTAGGCTAATTTGTCAAGTTAGCCTAATTGGCCTGGTTTTTCTAATTTGTTGAGAAAAATTAAAGAATTAATATGGAAGCTTTTAAATAATGTTTTAAAATTCAAAAAATTCTAGCCCCATATCCGCAAACCTAATAACAAAAAAGTTATGGCCTATTTTTGATTGACGCGCATTTATCACATTTTAACGAAAAAAATTAATAACTCAAAAACTATTTACTTTATGTATAGGACATGGTATAGTAATTTTACTCAGAATTTTATGTAGAATTTAAAAATATAAAAATATATGGGGTGTTCCATTTAAAATAACAAAGTTAATGTCACTTCGGAAGTGGAATTTTGTTTAAAACATTTTATAAAAATGTACTAAGATGGATTATAAACGCTTTTAAAATTTTAAGTTTATATCTTTTTCCGTTCCCCAGAAACTTCTAATGGACCACGAACGTGAAACAGCCTGTATAAAACAGTTTAGTTGACTCAAATTTTCTAGTACCTAACTATAGTTCCCCGTAGGAGAAGTGTGAGTCAACCAAACTGTTTTATATAGTGGACCCCACTGGGGTATAATCTGCGTTTTTAGGGCCGGTTTATTAATCTCTGGTTAAGTTCCACTTAGTCTATCTGACAGTTAAATTCACACAAAAATGATTTACTTAATTAACCTTATATTACTGATGCGATAAATATACGAAACGCACGAATCTGAATCTTTGCACAGCGGCACCTAAAGGTTTTTTACTTTCAGGATATTACTATATTATGGTCATACAAGCGACATTTATGCTTTAGGTCGAGAACTTCCACTTCCACTGTATTTACTATGGATAAACAACATTTTGTAATTAAAACAATCCAAATGTTAGGTAATTTTAATTAAGTCTCTTTTCAATAAATTCAAATAGGTTTGGATTATGAACTGATTATTAATGAAGCTCTTCACTAATTAAACAAATTATTTCAGTAATCAATATTTATAATTTATAGTATAAACACCTGTATCTAAACAAATCTGATTAATAATAAATCCTTTATAAAATTCACAAAAAATATCATTATAAATTTAAATTAATTTAATATTTTATAAAAATTGTTTATGAGTCAATTCGTCTCAAATCGCCTAGGCCGCTTTGGTAGAAAGTTTCTTTGACCCTTATAAATTTTAATCGGCAGTTTACGTTTTAACATAAAGTATTTTTATGATAATTACAAAAAATAATTATCAAGTATAACGATAGAATGAGTTGCTATGGAATGACCTATACCTAAATTAAATATTAAATTGATTTCTTATATGAAACCATTTAAGTTTTGACTAGAGAGTGATCTGCAAAATATATAATAAGGTGGGAAACGTCTATCTTTCCAAAACGATTTTAATAATTTAGTTCGGCATTTGGTGGAAAGCGCATATGGGATATGAGGATATAGGGTGGGGAAGTTAATATTGGGCATGTTTGGGAACACGAGAAAGGAGCGAGGGTGGAGAAGAACGTCGGGTAAAAGTAAAGCAAGGGCTTCCAAGATACAAGCAGGTATCCGGTGAAACAATGTGCAGGTGCATCTGATTACTAAGGCTCTTTATTTTACATAGGGACTTGCTATATAAAATACAGGGTGTTTTATGATGTTTGCCAGTGTCTACTTTGATTATCTATTTATCACTACATTTTTTATGATTTACTATTAAGATAAGAATGAAGTTTGGAAAATTAAAATGCATTTTTTTACAATTGCTAGAACTACAGCGATAAGTTATTTAGGAAATACAAATGTTAGTTTAATTAAAGGAATTTACTGAAATGCTTCATTTTTAAAAAAGTAAAAAAAAATTGTTTTTTATAAACGTAGAATACATATTTATAAGTTTATTTTAAAACATTTAACATAAATATATATCATTGTAAAGAAAACTAGCATTATTAACATATGTAAATATTATTTTTGTGTAAATTTTTAATATAAAACATAAAGAATGATTGTTTATGTCCAAAACATATAAATGTATACATGTATCTATGTGTATAGATTAATTTTAGTATAAATTTTTGGATAAATATTTTTTTTGTAAAATATCCTTATACAGAGTGTTCCTTAATATTGGGCTTATACGAAAGTAGATGATTTTAAGATGGGTCCCAAAAGTGGCGCACTACCTCGAAGGTGTATGATCTACGGACAACCAGGATTCCCGGAAAATTGTTAAAAAACTTATATCTTTATTATTTAAAAGCGTAAACATTGAGTTTTTTAATAAAAGTTTTACCTTGTTTATATTTTTATTATATGGATTAGGCCTACTTACTTAATGTTTAAAGAATGGTTTCATTTTATTTTTCATTATTGATTTATTATTTTATTATTTTAACTTTAACAATAGGCATGAGTCTGGCAACATAATATAATTTTCCAATAAATTGTTATCACTAGTAATACCACTAGAGGTCAAATTATTTCCGGAAATTTTTTCGAGCTCATGAATATTTTGAAAATTATCCCGAGTCGAAGACGAGGGATAATTTTCTAAAAATATTCATGAGGGAGAAATTTCCAGTATAATTCGCTGTTGGGTACCCACGAGGAAAAAATTTCCACTTAAATTCAACCGTTGCCATGGTGATTCATGAAAAATACACGTTTTGATTGGTTAAAAATTACAGGTGTGGAATTTTCACTTATAATACCACAAGAGCTTCAAAATTATCGGGTATTTTTCCCGATAGGTTCGTTGCAAACAAATGAAGGAGTCAAGTTTTTCAGGTTAAAAAAAACTTGACGACTTTATTTGTTTGCAGGGAACCTTCCCTCATGAGGGAAATGCCAGATAATTTTGAAGCTCGTGTGGTATTCGGGGGATTATTTTTTTTTAGAATTGCACCATGAGACGAAATGTACAGTTAACAAATAAGAATTTCATAATGAATAAAACAACATTTAATTAAGATTTAATTTGTTTTTTATATATAGCAACTACCAGAGAAAATTTTCAAAAAATTATCGCTGTAATTCGCTGTAGGTTCCCTCAACAACAATGCCTCAACAATGTCCCAACAATACAGAGAACTGTCAAAAAAAATAATCACAACAATTTATTGGTTAATTGATGTGTTATCCATTGACATCACACGATATATGGTGTCTATAGACAGTGTTGCCAGTGTCAGTATGTTTGTATAGCGAATTAAGTACTTTTGCAGTCAAAAAAGTACGCAAGTACCTCGTTGATTGTTTTCAGTACGTTTTCCAGTTTTTAGATTTTTTTCTTTATTTAAATAAATATAGTGCAATGATGAAGTACAAAATAAAATTACATTCATATAAGTTTAATGTTTATTTCTCAAAATTGGAGAAAAACCGAAAGTCAGTACGTTATCTTTCAAATTCAATACGCTTTTATTGCCAGTTCAGTACTTTAATTTTTCTACTACTGGCAACATTGTCTATAGACAATAATTGGCAGTTAAAATTGAATTCATAGCATTTTTATTATACATATATTAGAAATTGATATGTATTTATTTATTGAGTATTGTAATATATATCTTGTGTTTAAGAATGCTTGACAATGCAAGAGTCATTCAACCTGTGTGTGTGTGTGTTCGTGTGTGTGCCAGTGTAGTATATGAACACTAAAATGTAACATTTTAAATTAAAATTTGTTTAGTTTTTTTATAGAAACCTCCTGTATTTGTTTCTGACTTAAAATAAATAACCTCTAACGAATTATGTCAATTCATTTTGACACTTTCTTTATTGTCAGGATCATGGAGCCTACATGTATACATGTAGGCTCCATGGTCAGGATGATTAAGAATTAAACCACCATTCCTCAATATTTGGCAATGTTGCCATTTAAAAATATGCATTTCCATTATCTTTTTAAATAATGAAGGTAGAATTTTTTAATCGTTTTCTGGGATTTTGGTCTGTGGATCATACAAGAGGGTGCGCGACTTTTTGGACACTCTGTAAGTTTTATAACTTTTTGGTCTTATAAATTATATATTTTACAACGTATAAAATAAATATATAGAATTTAAACAAAAATAAAGACATCAGTACAGGTTGTTATGGAAAACTTTAGTAATTCTAGGATATAAATTTAAAAAAATGTTGTATGCATTTTGGTCAATTTTTAATCTTTAATTGAATCGATTCACTAGCTTAAATAAAATAAAAAGTAGAACTGAGGTTAGGTATCTGACCCTTTCAGTGGAATTGAGGTAAGGTATGTGTCACTTTCAGTAAAATTGAGGTTAATTATCTGTCACTTTCAGTAGAATTACGGTGAGGTATCTGTCATTGACATTAAAATTAAGGTTATTTGATTATAATGGCGTCATGTTGTCAAATAGCATTGAAATGAGTATTTTAAGTTTGTTTTAATTTTTAAAGAGATAAAAAATATGATCAAGAAAAAGTTTTTCCAAATGTTGATTGATATCCTAGAATAACGAACGTGTTTTTTATAACACCCTGTATATGAAAATATTGAAAATAACTTAATTTTTGATTCCCAGTGGGCACAAGTTAGCCCTGCCATATAATAGTAATGGTGATGAAATACAGGGTGTGGCATTTTGTTGGGTTTTCTATAATAAACGACGCGTCGGACCGATCAACATATTAAAGAATCAAAAGACGAACACTCAACAAAATGCCACACCCTGTATTTCATCACCATTATTTTTCATACTTTTTAAAACTTCAGCCTTCTAACAAAATTGATTGAAAGCGGTAAAAGAACTTCTTTGTATTAGTATTATACAGGGTGGGCCAATGGAAAGTTCCCACCCCGGTTTTCTCAGATGTTTCGAAAAAACAAAAACCCTTGCACTCGTCGATTTTTTATTTAAGGAGGACAAATTATTCTTATACTTTCGACCCCTCAACTTCAACCCCTAGGCGTGGGTGATAGTTACCCCCAAAATTTGAATAGGGAAGCGACCCTTTATTTTGAAGGTATTCTTGCCCTGATTATACCCTCCAAGTTTAAAGTTGCTATTATCATCCCTGTTGATATGACAGCTTGTCAAAATCTTGGAAATAGACTATTATTTTTTCAGGAGTAAAAGCGATACTTGCCTTCCTTAATAAAAATACCTACTAATTGAAGTTTTTAAGTTTTAATATTATTATTATGTTATTTATCTAACAAACTGTTCAAAATGTCCTCCATTAACATTCGATTCTCCATCTCTTCTCTAACATTCTGCAAAATATCGGCGGTTATCCTTTGATACTCTTCAGTTATTCGTTCTTGTAGAACTCAATAGGTCCTCTTCGGCAAATCAAGTGGTCTCTAAAATTGTCGTTTATAAATTGCCGAACGGGTGCTGCATAATGCGGTGGGGGTCCATCTTGTTGAAAAAACATTTAATCTTGTGACAAGTTGTTATCGATCATAATCATCCTCATTAAGTTCGAGAAGCAATCGTATCTTGTAGGGGTAAGATGTGTGAACCTTCAAAATTCTCCTTAGGCTTGTTTGTGATATTCCGGAAACTTCGGACAATTGCCTACTACTTAATGTGTTATCCATTGTAATGTGTCCTAGGACTGCGATTTGCATGCCTTCATTCCTAACGACACGAATCGGATTATCTTTTTTGTTCTACACTGTTCCAGTTTCCAAAAACTTTTCCATCAGTTTCCTAACGTAAGTATGCAAGACCTTTTTTTTCCTGATATCTTTCATTAAGTAGTCGTCATAAGTATAAACTAATTATAGTTCAGCTATAATGTAAACCATAATGAAATTTCGTCACAAGCTCTCGAACTAATGATAATAATTTTAATGATGATCGTGCGACAAAACTAAAGTAAATAAAGTTTACCAAAAACACTTTTTTCTTCAAACGTAAAAAACTGATGATTTGTTGCTAATTACTTTATTCGTTTGGCAAACCTACCGACTTGTCACAAAAGTATCGCTTTTACTCAGGACTACTAAAACAATAGTCTATTTCCAAGAGTTTAATAAGCTGTCATATCAATTGGGATGATACCAGTGAAGTCATGGGAAAAATACCTTCAAAATGAAATATCACTCGACCCTCCTCCCCTATTCAAATTTTGGGGGTAACTATCACCCACGCTTAGGGGTTGGTTAAAGTTGAGGGGTTAAAAATATAAAAATAAATTGTCCCCCCAAATCGGGTGCGAGCGTTTTTGTTTTTTTTTTCGTAACACCTGAGAAAACCGGGGTGGAAACTTTCCATTGGCCCACCCTGTATAGGAACACCTACATATAACTTGAAATAAAAATACAAAAAATATTATTATAAAAGGTTAGAAGGGTTATTAACAATTTCAGTTATAATAATTAAAAAATAAATAAGTTAATTAATAGAGACCGAATTCTAAACAAATGCCTTTTGTGATTTTATCTATATATATACATATATATATATATAAAAAATTTAATATTACTTTTAAAACTCAAAAGTTTTTAGGAATTAAATTAAATAGTAAATACCTTTAATTAGGTTTATAGAAGGCCTTGAAGTTTGTTAACTCACCCCATATTACTTTTTACATTTTTACTTTTTAAATTTTTATTATAATAACATAACCCACATAAAATTTCATTTGCAGGGTTATTTCGTGCCCTTTGTATATATAAATACGCAAATGTATTATTTATGTTTTATCTTTAAGTAAACGGTTTTAGAAACAAATACATTTTTTCAAAATTATATAATAACCACAAAAATTTCAAAATACATTTGTCACCTTTTTAACTTTTTATAAATCTTGTCTCTATCAATTAAAAAAATAAATTCTCAATTAGTCTAAAAACAAAATACGAGTATCTTAAATAAGTAATTCAATGTTTGACGTGTTTAATTTTTGATGCAATTTGGTTTGACTTGAAATGCATTTTTATTTTCTCTCGAAAAAGTTCCAGTGAATTTTTTCACCGTTAACGTAACCAAATAGTGTTTTAACCCACCTGCAAGTCCTGCTTGGCGGCCTCGGCTCCTGCCCTCGTATTAAAAGTAACGAACCCCACGGGCTGCAACAAAAACAATTTATGATAGTACATGTATTTTGCAAGAAAGAAAGGAATTATTTAGAACAGGAAATTAGTTAATGGCAAAACTTACCGATGCTGTCTTTCCGTTCTTGCTTGTGACTTTTAGAAGTGATCCCTCATAACCCTGAAATACATTATTAATTACATTAATATTAATAATTTTAACTTAAGTTATAAATACGTTTAAAAACTTGATTTACATTTATTATGATTCATAAAACCCAAATCAAATACAACAGCAAATTAGATAATTTTTTGTAGTATAATTTAAAAACTGCAAAAACCTTTTAAATATTTTAATTATTTAACCATAACGCAACCACCAAAGTCACAAGGTCGTATGTTAAAAACCGTTTGTTTTTACATGCTTGATAAACGACTTGGATATAACTACATTGAGATGGCGCAAAAGTCATCACACAATTTCCTAAGGCTATAACTTTTTTGTAAATGAAAAAAATCGGTCGTGTTGGTAAATAATATTTATTTGGACATTTCAATTTTCGAATTTCGAAGTTAATGTCGAAAAATTAATAATGCCCAAGTGGCCGCCGCCAGAGTGTAGTACATTTAGGTGCCCTTTAAAACATTTATCCTCAATTTTCTTAATGCTCAGCCTTCATGCAATGGCATTGCCATTTCTTCTTCAATGTTCTCCTCTAGGGCTGCCAAGGTCTGTAGCTCATTCACAGAAAGAAGAAACTTCAAATTATTTTCAAAGAAAGAATGTGGAGTAATTAAATAGATATTTTGCTCGCGATATTTTTCGGTCGCTTAATTTCTAGTTTTGGAATTTTCTCCAGACTTCTTTACTTGGAATTATTTTAAGCCTCGAAAAAACCACAGACCTTGGAAGCCCCAAAAACCAACATTGAAGAATAAATGACAAATCCATCGCCCAAGGTATTAAAAAAAGTAATGCAAAACGCGCCCAAATGTACATCAACTATTGCTTTTTCAACTTAACAGGAAAAAGTGAAGGTCCAACTAAAGATTATTTACAAACAAATCCCTTGTTTTCGTTTTAAAAAAAAGTTTAAGTTAAAGGAAATCGATTGATTACTTTTGCGGAAAATGAGCACAAATGTGCATCAACTCTGGCGGAGGCCAATTGGCCGATATTATTTTCTCGACTTAATAGAAAAAAATTTAAAGGTACAACAATACATTATTCCCAAGAAGAACCGATTTTTTTCATTTACAAAACAATTCGGTGACATTTGCGCCAGCGTTATAATCTTGTAAAAATTCAAATTTTTCGTTTTTTTAACATACAACCTTGTTATATTGGGGAAGTGCATTGTTTGAAAAATTTATAATAAAAGTAGGTATAATACTTTTGAATTTAAATTACAAAAAACATACCTATGTAAAGTTTTTTTATTTGGAATTTTACACATTTGATTATATTGGTATTGTATGTTAATATACTTTGGTATTTTTAATATATAAAATTGGTACTCCTGTTTAAGCCCTTATTTTTAAATACATTTGTCATTTAACTGTCACCTATATTTCATCAAAGGTAAAGTTACTGCATTTTTTAACAACTTATATTTGACATTTCAAAATTTACAAACATACTGTAATTATAACATAACCACAATTATATTCTCCACTAAACTACACTGCGCGTCTAAATGAACTCATAATAAGTACAAAAATTCTAAAACGCATTTACCAATATTTATGAAATTTTGTATAAAAATAATTCAAATTATATATATAATTATATTAGTTTACGTTTTCGATGTTCGAGAAAATATTTTTAAAGCCATTTAATTTAATAATAAAAAAACGTTTGAAAAATAACTTTTAGGGAATGTTTTTTATATAAATAAAAAATATGCTGTTAGAGGACGTATTTTTGTTAGTATACCCTGAAAATTTTGTACAAATCAAACGAACAGCAACAAGTACACAGAGCTTCGAAGTCGGTAAAAATGACCCATTTTTGATTATTTTGCTGAAAAGTGGTCATTTTTGACGACTTTGAAGCGCTGTATCTTCGTTACTGTTTTTTTGATTTGTACAAAATTTTTAGGGTATACTAACAAAAATACGGTCTTTAACAGCATATTTTTTATTTAAACATTCAATTTTCTTAGTTTCTTTAAGAAACTTTCTTGACCCATCACTGGTAATATTCATAAGAATATAAGAAAAAATTGAACCTACACCTCGCCATATAAGCTGAGGGAGTAATTTGTTTTGATTGTGTTCCACTACACCAAGTTGCCCGACACTGATGAGACCCAATAAAGGTCGAAACAGCTGTCTGTCGGTATTTGAAGTTGGTGGAACGCATTCAAAACAAAAAACTTTGGCGAGGTGTAGGTTCTATTTTTTATTTACTAAAAAAAAGTTTCCTATAAAAGTTTTTTTCTAGCGTTTTTAAGTATTGAATAAAAAGGCTTTAAGGATATTTTCTCGAAAAACCCTGTTAAACACGTAAACTGAGATATAAGTTTAAGTATTTTTATGCAAAATTTTATAAAGATTGGTAAAGGCGTTTTAGGATTTTTTTTACTTGTTTTGCGTTAATTTTGACGCGTGTAGTTTGTTCTACTCAATGTATCCAATTATAAATTTAGGGTCCCTAGAATTTGCCAACCAAACCCCCAAATTTTTGAGGTCAAATTTCGAATAAAAAAAACTGTATGTAGGTACATAGGTAATACGTCCGTAATAGCATTCTCTATGAATGGTTTTAGATCAATTTAAAGCGTCTAAATTAAAAATACTTTTGACATTATTAATTAAAAATAATGCACTAACGTCACATCAGGCGGAGCTTTTTTAACAAGCAGTTTTCGTGTTTTTAAACTGTTGTTATGGAAACAAATGTAAATAAGAGAGCTGTGACCGGCATTAACATGATTGTATATAAAAATTAAACTTTGTTATGATTAACGAATTTTATTTTATATATTTTATATAATATAATTGTACAATTGGTACAAAAATTCCTGAGAAAATTACCAAGATTTTTCCATAAATTTACAAAATTAAAAAAAAAATTATCACATTTATTTTATTTAGGTATATTTTGAAAGTTGTCGATGAGTAAAATATTAAGTTATACTATAATAAAAAAGAAAAAAAGACATAACATTAAAAAACTAATTAATAAAAAATAAAAATTCTCCTCCGGTAAATGTGAAAGATTGTATTTAAACTTTTTACATAAATAAATTAAAATTAAAAAAAAAAATTATTTTTAAAACTTTCACAGCTGAAAAACTATATTTACCTAACAGTACATTTAGTTAATGAAATAAATGGATTATTTTAATAAAAAAATTACTTGGATGGTTTTATTTGTTTTTAAATTATAATGGATTAAAATTACTTACTACATATCCTTATTTCATAAATTTTGATTACAGAGATAACCACTTTGTGCGAATTATATAAATTAGTATTAAAAATATTATCATTATTCAAGTTCTCCTGTCTAAAATTTTAGCAAGGCAGTTTTTAGGTTAATTACGAAAACCTCTTAAATATACGTGTACTAACAGTGAATTAGGAAAATTAAACTTTCGTGCAAATAGGACGTGAAAGCTTACACCTCATACTTGTGTGCTGACATTATATTATTTTATTTTAATATCACGCCTCAACAATTCCCAACAAAAGGTTTTGCAAAATTGAAAAACTAAATTTAATTTATTTTTATAAAAATATATGCTTTTTAAATTTAATGTGGTATGCCAAAATTAAAAGGTTTTAATTAAAAAATGCATAATATATACAAATATTATTTTATTTATATATTTTTAATGAAAATATAAAATATGCAGAATTCGTAAAATCGGAAAATAAAATATTTTTAGTTTAATTTATGTAAAAAATATTTAGCTTACAGAGCATATTCCTTCTACAATTATATTATTTCATAAAAATAATTTTATGCTTGAAAAAATGAATAGATAAAATATATTTTTTTAAAACTTGGTGCTCTAAAGTGGAATTTTAAAATAATGATGTAAAAGCTTAAAAGAAGATAAGCACAATAGGTATTTTAATATAATTGCAAGTAGAATCCACAATTTAATTAAAATAAATGGTAAAAAGGATGTTTCATTCATTTGCAGTGTTGCAAAAATGTCATTTAAATTGCTGTAGTATTACGGTCTTTAATTATAGAAATGTGGCATAGAAACTTAAAAGTGCCTTTTTGGTTTGAATAAAACCTACCTCATAAGCTCTAAATAATAAATATAGTTCCCGAGGCTTGGCGTCCATAGGCAGTCCACTAACAAACAGCGTTCGCACCTGAAAAAAACAGAAAATTTAGCATTTTTAAATCAATACCAACTCGCCAAAACATGTTTTTTTAAAGGGAATATATAGATAGCTGTTTATGACGATATTTATAAATTAATACCGGCGCATTCGCCATTTAAAAACAATTATATTTCCTTTAAAATTATAATTAATATAGATTAATAATATTAATATTTTCCCTCATAATTGAATGGTTTTGTTCTTAAATATTTTTGAATATAATTTAAAATTCATGTATTTTGCTAATTTATATTATACCAAAATGCGAATAATTATCATTATCTCTTGGAAAGCTTTTATCATTGAGTAAAGTGTGTTCTTTACTCAATGGTAGGAGTAAAAATATTAGAGTTGATTTGTAAGTGTAAAAGTTACACTACAAAATACACTAGGTAGCATTTAGTGCTTATTAACTTTATTAAACACATTTAAAGAATATGAACATTATTCATTGGTACATTCACAGTATTTATTATTAAAATAAATCAAAAGGGTAGAAAAACTTAATGCGAGTGTTTATTACCCCTTAATGTGTTAAATAGTGACAAAATGTACACTACAGTGCATGCCAATTTCTTTTTATGTTTTGATGTTACTAAGAGCTCTTTTTTCTTTACACTACTAGTGCACATTGTATCACAATTAAAGTTAAATTACACCAATAGTGGCAAAATAGACTGAAAAAACTGGTAATAACCGAAATGCGTTTTAAACTGTTTGGTTGCTACCTATCTACCTACGCAGTGCATATCCGGAGATACCGCGTTGTAGAAGTGTGGCATTTTTGTTCAGTTAGGTTTTAATTACGGTGAATCTATAAGGGGACATTCTTATTTTTTGGTAAGTATTATACTTCCTTTTTCTTTAAGCCTTAATACTCAATATGTTAAAAGGATGTCCATACCCGACCTATATTATATATCAATAATTAACGGCAGTAGGTCGGGTAACATTAATAATATAAATACATACACACTTAATTTACTTTTTATTTTCAAGCGTAATGGTTGTTATATTAACCTATACCTACATTTTTATTATTATTATGTAAAATTTGTACACGTGTGGTAAATCCCCGACATACAGCCGCCTGACGCCTCTCTACCAATGGGATCACCCATTTTTTATAACAGAAAAATGAATAACTGATAAATTCTCAAGATAATTCATTGCTTACAAGTTGACAGCCAGTATAAAATTGCATTGATCTAATACTTTTACGTTTTAAGGAACCATTTTGCTTAAGCCAGCCATACAACTCAAATATAAAATTATATTTTAAAAGGCACCGATTTTGATAATTGTCATATATTTTTGTTCCAAATAAATGTTTCTCTTTATTTACCTTTTCGTTTTATTTACTACCACCAATAGGTTTTACTCAAATAATAGTGTTAATTTACACTGAACAAAAGTGGGATTTTACCCAGGAAGTGTAAGGTAAATTAACACTTTTTAGTACAGTGTAAAATTACTTTATTCTCAGTGTTAAATCATACTTGCTTACTTGGGGAAAATTACACTACAAATTAACTCTAATTGTAGTGTTATAAAACAACACTATTTAGTGTGGACCTTTGTAAACTCTAATTAGTGTTGCTTAGAGTTGTTTTTTTACTGTGTATGCAATTGTTAATTTGTTGCTTAAAACCATTAATATAGAATATTCTATCTCGATAGTTAAAACATCATTATTAATTAATCTTACATTGTGGCAAGTTGTTTAAATAGTCATGTACTATGTGAAGTAATACTTTTATCCAGGATATAGTAAATTATTTAAAAATATAAAGTTTTTTAAATTAATGATCTGAAATTATTTAATAGCTTGTGCTTTATTTTATTTTCTCTTTTCTTGCAATTCCGAAAACTAAACCGAGAAGAATCGGGTCTTTATTTGTGGCTTTTCCTATTAATCTGTATAAAACTTAAATTTAAAAAGAATTTGACAAAATTTTACGCAAAATCTTATATTTTACTAAAAAATTAATATAAATATTTTTTATAACATTTTTTTTCTACACTATGATAAAGTTGAATTTTACTGTCTCCATAGGAGAAGAAATGGCTATAGCCACTATTTTTTTTTTACTTTTTTTAATAGACAACGCTGCAATAATATATTAAAATTAATATTTTAACTATTTTAATTAACTTTTTTGGCCAAACAAAACCTGTATTCTTGCTGCTTAATATAATTTTATATTAGCAAATTATAAATTAATTAATTAATTTTAAATAGGTTTTTGCAAAAAGTTATACATATTTAACTGTTGTAAAAATTGTTACAGTCATAATGTCATAACGTATTTATAACCCCGGTAAAGTGATTTTTTCAGGCTTCAAGAAGTGTAGCTAAAGGCTCCTATACACTTTTTTCAGTCTTTTCAAATGATTAAATTGGTGTAAAATTTATAAACATAATTATAAAAATGACACTCTTTCAATTTTGTAAAAATTATAGAGGTTAATGGCGTTTTTATGCCCAAACAATGGTTTTTGTAAAAAAATTAACAAAATGTAAATATTTTACGTAAAATTTTGTATAATTTCAGTTTTTAAATTTATTAAACATGTGGTAAAAGCTGCTATTTCATAAAGAGACCTAAAAATGTTTAATAAATTTAAAAACTAAAATTATACAAAATCGATTTTCTGGGTTTTATATTAAAAACTACATTTACCTGTATAATTTTTACAAAATTAAAGATTCAAATTTTTATAAATATGTTTAAAAATCATACTCCAGTTTAATAATTTCCGAAACCCTGTATAAAAATTATATTTCTAGTATAATATTATATTTCAAACTATTTAAAAAGTAAATCAATATAAATAAAATTGTAGGAGTAAATAAATTGAATTTTAGTATTTAACCAGCTGTCATGCACCTGTGTAGGGTGACTGACCAAAGGTATACCAGGTGGTTATTTTATAAAAAATAATATTTTTTTACTTCTTATATAATAAGCCAGAAGTCTACCAATTTAAATTTGGTAAAGATTTAAAAGATTTAAAAAAAAATCTAGAAAATAAAACTATTATTAGTACTGGCAATTAAATATAAGCATGTTAAAAAAATTATTTCATATTGCAAATAGATAATTATGTTTTTTAATGCTATATTACATTTTAATTTAGTAGTAGGTAATTAGAAATGTCATCAGCAAAGTTCTATAAAAAAAGTAGGTAGAAACATAAGTTGGTATTTGCATAAAAATAATAATAATAATGTATTTAAATTTAAATAACTTAAAATAATACGCAGTTTTAAATTTAACCATTAAGTAAAAATGTAATTATTACATGCTACGATTGATTAAAATTCAGTTTACAAAACAGCTGCTCTATATATAGGAACAGGTGAATAAGTAATAGTAATGGTAAATAAACGGTTTCAAATCGATTAATAAACCGCCAACTTCGACAATACCGTATTTTTCGAATACGCAATTTTTGTATTAAAAACAAAACAAAACTTAACTTACTTAACAACGTTGATAAAGCAGCGTGCATTGCAGAGAGAATATGCATTTCAAAATTTAAATGTCAATTGCCAGACAACTAGTCAAAATGAACGGAAATAGACAAACGAAATAATGAAGGAAACAATCGTAACTAAGGCAACCGAACAAGCGCGAATAAAAAATCTACGCACGCGATCTGAAAGTTCATATGGCGTATTATAATTTTGGTAATATTTTGGGCTTGGGATTTATGGTAAAATGTTTTATTTTTTACAGTTTTATTTTTGTACAACTTTTTTAATATATCATTTTATCGTCTTTAATTTTGATAGGTCAAGTTCATTATGTTTTATATAATTTTTTTCTACTTACACTTACTTAGAAATTAAGGTTAGAACCGTTTGACACATTTATTTTCGAAAATTATTTAATGTTTGTTTTTGTAGTAGAAAAATTACTTAGGTATGCAATTTGTTTTGTAAACTTCTTTAGACACCCGCTACGCTCGTGCCGAATTAAAATTCGTGACTAAACTGCCGTGTATCATAATCTTATTTAGTACCTATTTAAAAAATGTTTATAAACACTATATGTTTTTAAGTAAAAAATATTCTTCAATATTTTCTATACATCCTGTATAAAAGACAATTTTTCGTGGAACACAAACTAAAAACACTAAAAAGCACAAAAAATAGACACACTAATAACACAAACCTCTAAGCTTTCCATCTTCATAAATTATAGTGTAGTAGATATGAGTTCTTGAATAAAATTCACTTTTGTAAAACCGTGATACTTATAGGCAGGAAGGTCGGCCGGCGACTAACAAGCGGATAGGGCTGATAGGGTAGTCGGGTAGTGAGCGCGCGAGGTGAACGAGTCAGTGCTCTGAAAGGTATTGTTTTAGGGGTTTGGGGTAATGATGCTAGCTTACTGGTGCATTTAAACCGTTGTCGACCGTTTCCGGCTTATTCCGGTGCTGCATATGTTTCCTTGCTGCTAGATTATTATGTTTATCCTTAAATTATAAAATACGGGGCCCTTGTCCGAACGCTATTTAGTATAAAAGTAAATTTATAAAAGCCACTATTTACCTTTATAAAACTTATTTGATGTGTTAATTAAAACAATAGTTTATAATAAACTTGTAGATTTTGTTTCAAATGTTTTTAATAGTATATTTTGTATCATATGTATCATGTTTATCATGTATGATAAACGCCATTTTATACAGGAATTTAAAATAGTGTATATATACACTATAGAAAAGTTTATAAACGAGGTGCATACTATACTTTTTCTACGACAAATACTTATTATTATCTTACAATGATTTAAATCAAACAGATTATAAAGGTTATAAATCGAAATGTATTTCTTAAAAATTGACAGTTTTTCACAGTGAAAGTAAAGAAAATGTTTTATGAGCACTTTACAGTGGAGTCCGTGCCCGAATTTAAGTTATAGTTTACTGCCGGCGAAATTAAAAGGTCAGTAATGTTCATATAAACTTTTCAAATA